AGATCTTTAGTCCCGGTTGATGAGAACAACCGGGAGTAAAGTCTTTACTCCCGGTTGTTCTCATCAACCAGGACTAAAGATATTTTCCCGCTATTTCCAAATTCTTTTTAAACCCGGTTAGGGTTAAGAACAGGGACTACTGATAAGCGCACTGAATATTAATTTCCATTACATATGTGTTTCTAAAATAGAAAATAATGCATTAAAATTATTTAAAGTCGAAAAATTAATGACAATTACTTCGAAAAATTATTGTTGTCTGTAGTAAATTAAGTGGATAAAACATAATAAGCAAATATATGATTTAAAATTAATAAAAATTCTAATAATCATATATACTTAGCATATGAATGATATTAAATTGTTAAAAATTGTAATTAACATATGTATATACATATGACATGCATGATTTAAAATTAATAAAAATTCTAATAATCATATATAATTAGCATATGAATTATATTAAATTAATTGTTAAAAACTCTAATTAACATATGTAAATGCCACATGCATGATTTAAACTTTTAAAAATTCTAGTTATCGCATATAACTAGCAAATACATGATTTAAAATTGTTAAAACCTCTAATAATTGTACGTAATTAACATATGCCATACAACAATTGATTTATATAGATAATCAATACATCCAAAATAGTTTACATCGTGCACACAATAATTACGGCAATACATCGGCGATGACGGTTGACCGCACATACTTTCTCCTCACTATTGTTCCCTCCTTGTGATCGCTACGTGAGTAAGGGGTGTATTCATTTGATAGGAGGATGCTAGGGTCAATCGTCACCATGAAAGGGGGTTGCCCATCCAACTGATCGTAATCCTCGTTAGTCTTGTCCTCAACTCCGACGATTTTTCTTTTGCCTGGGAGAACCACGTGACGCTTCGGCTCGTCAGGCCCTCTGCCCTTCTTTCCTTTGCTAGACATGTCCTTCACGTAAAAGACTTGCGTTACATCATTGGCAAGGACAAAAGGTTCGTCCGAGTATCCAACCTTGTTAAGGTCAACCGTTGTCATCCCACTGTCATCAATCATTACGCCTCCACCAGTCAACCGAACCCATTGGCACCGGAACAGAGGGACCTTGAGAGGACCATAGTCAAGTTCCCATATGTCCTCGATGGCACCGTAATATGTGCCAGTTGTTCCATCGTATCCTATGGCATCGATACGAACAACGCTGTTTTGGTTCGTGCTCTTCATGTCTTGGGCTCTCGTGTAGAATGTGTACCCATTGATCTCATATCCTTGGAATGTCGCGATTAATCCAGATGGTCCCCTCGCCAGGAAGGCCAGTTGTTGGTTGATCGTCTCGTTACCCATGAGATGTTGTCGTAGCCACGCGGGGAAAGTATCAATGTGATGCCGTGTATTCCATGCATCAGACTTACCGATGTTTCTGGCGCGAACTAGAGCCAAGTGCTCCTCGATGTAAGGAGCTACCAATGAAGATTGTTGCAGAACCGTGAAATGGGCTTTACGGAATAAATTGTTGTCTACCGTCATTATTGCTTTCCTTCCGAGAGTTCCCTTTCCCCGCAGTCTCCCTTCGTGGCGTGATTCAGGTACCCTGATTGGGCGAAGGTCTTCAATAAATTCTACGCAAAATTCGATGACCTCCTCTGTTCCATACCCCTTGGCGATGCTTGCCTCTGGACGAGCACAGTTACGAACATACTTCTTCAGAACGCCCATGTACCTCTCGAAAGGAAACATGTTGTGTAGGTACACAGGCCCGAGAATACTGATCTCTTTGACAAGGTGACAAAGCAGATGTGTCATTATATTGAAAAATGAAGGTGGAAATATCAACTCAAAACTGACAAGACATTGCACCACATCATTCTGAAGGGCTTCTAATCTATCCGGATCGATGACCTTCTGCGAAATTGCGTTCATGAAAGCACATAGCTTTGTTATTGTTGCCCGGACATTGTCTGGAAGGATACCCCTTATTACAACTGGTAGCAGTTGTGTCATCAACACATGACAGTCATGAGACTTTAGATTTGTGAACTTCTTCTCCTTCGTGCTTATTATTCGCTTGATATTCGTGGAGTGTCCAGACGGTACCTTTATGCTCTCCAAGTATTCAAACATACTTTCCTTCTCTACCTTGCTAAGAGTGTAGCTGGCTGGACTCAAGTAATGGCTTCCTTTCTCCTTTGGTTCCAGGTGAAGGTCGCCGCGTTGTTCCATATGCTTTAGATCATTACGTGCTTCTAGTGTACTTTCAACTTTCTATATACACCTAGGAAGCCAAGAAGGTTTACGCAAAGGTTCTTAGTGAGGTGCATCACGTTGATTACGTGGCGGACGTCCAAGAATTCCCAATAGGGTAACTCCTAAAATATAGAGTTCTTTTTCCACATCGCTGCGTGACCATCTTCGCTCTCTATAGGCTGGCTTACAGGCCCCTTTCCGAACACTACTTTAAGATCTTTAACCATAGCAAATACTGTTTTCCCGCTGCGATGTTTAGGCTTCGTACGGTGGTCCGCCTTATGTTCAAAGTGCTTGCCTTTCTTCCGTACCGGGTGGTTTGCAGCAAGGAATCGACGATGACCCATGTACAGAACCTTCCTACAGTGCTTAAGATACATACTTTTTGTTTCATCCATACAGTGAGTGCAAGCCTTGTACCCCTTGTTGGACTGACCGGAAAGGTTGCTAAGTGCAGGCCAATCGTTAATGGTTACGAACAGCAGCGCTCGTAGGTTAAACTCCTCCTGTTTGTCCTCGTCCCACACGGGGACACCTTCCTTTTTCCACAACAGTTTAAGATCTTCGACCAGTGGTGTTAGGTACACATCGATGTCGTTACCAGGTTGCTTGGGGCCTTGAATAATAATCGGCATCATTATGTACTTCCTCTTCATGCATAGCCAGGGGGGAGGTTGTAGATACACATCGTAACGGGCCAAGTGCTATGGCCGCTGCTCATCTCTCCAAAAGGATTCATGCCATCCGTACTTAAACCAAACCGTGTGTTTCGTGCGTCCTTTCCAAAGTCTTTAAATTTTCTGTCGATGTTTCGCCACTGCGAACCATCGGCGGGGTGTCTCAGCATCCCGTCCTGTTGACGCTCTTCAGCGTGCCATCGCATCATTCTAGCATTCACCTTATTCCTGAACAAACGCCTTAGCCATAGTATTATAGGGAAATACCACATCACCTTAGTAAGAATTCTCTTTTTTGTTAGCTGCTCGTTAACTTCTCCTGGATCGTCTCGTCTAATCTTGTATCGTAGTGCTTTGCAAACAATCAGGTTCTCGTACTCCTCACCGCGATATATGATACAATCATTCGGACATGCGTGAATCTTCTGAACTTCCAGCCTTAGAGGGCAGACTATCTTCTTTGCCTCGTACGTTGTCTCGGGCAATTTGTTTCCCTCCGGAAGAATGTTCTTGACGAGTTTCAATAAATCGACAAATGTCTTGTCACTAACACCATTTTTTGCCTTCCATTGCAAGAACTCCAGAGTGGTATCCAACTTTTTGTGCCCCTGCTCGCAACCTGGGTACAACGATATTCTGTTGTCCTCTAACATCTTGTCCAATTTATGGGCCCCTTTTCACTTTCGCAGTCCTCCTTGGCTTCCTACAACATCTGACCAAGATTATCCGCAACGTTGTTACCATCAGCATCCCTTTCCTCCTCGCCCGTTTGATTTCTTTCAAATCCAACGTACTGAGCAAAGTCCAGAATATTGTCGTCTTCCACTTCATCTTCTTCCATTTCAACACCTTGCTCTACGTGGGATGTCCAACAATTATAGCTTGGCATGAACCCCGACTCAAACAAGTGGAAATAAATAGTCCTGGATGCAGAATACTCCTTATGATTCTTACACTTACTGTATGGACAACAAATAAAACCCTTATGCCTGTTAGCTCCGGCCACTCTCAAAAAATAATGCACACTGTCAATAAACTCTTTGGACCGCCGGTCAGCATACATCCATTGCCGATCCATCTACATGACATGAAAAAAAATCGTACACATAATTATTCTTACAATAATGACAGTCATACAATAATTATAAAATAATTACAAACTCTTTCAACAGTCATACAACAATGACATATCATTATTCATAAAAAACTATAAAATATTACACCAAATAATTCTTATTTACTATTTCTAAAGTTTTATACTAATATTAATATTAATGTGTTGTAGTTCTTTTAATTTTCATTTTAGTTTGTTTTCTATTATTTAATATTAACTTTCACTATATTTTCCCTCTCAACTATTTTATAAAACCTTCTTTAGCAAATAAACTAAATTTCTATATATTCTTTCTTCCCCACACAAATTTTCTCTCTCATCAACTTACAAGTAAATTTTGGAGACATAAAAGTGTATAAAACATAGCTCCAAATGTAATATGACAAAAAAAACATTGGAGGATGAAGTTGCTAACATTTTAGGCACCTCCGATTTGTATATAATCACCAAAATAAATTCACTAGAAATTTTGGCATGACCTCCCCTCTTTTTTGAAGAAATTTTGAAGCTTGCTCGGGCAGCTGGAGGAGGAAGAAGACATATATATATATATATATATATATATATATATATATGGGTGGTACTTTAGTCCCGGTTGATGTTATGAACCGGGGCTAAAGATCGCCGGGATCTTTAGTTCCGGTTGGTAATACCAACCGAGACTAAAGTTACGATCTTTAGTACTAAAGATCCTGGGGGGGCCTGATAAGCCCTCACAGCATTTGAATCGGGACTAAAGATGATCGTTACCAACCGGGACTAAAGATCAAATATGCCCGTTACCCTTTTTAACCGGGACTAAACATCATCTTTAGCCCTGATTTTTATTGCAACCGGGTCTATTGTGGAATTCGGCCGACCGACGAAAGATGGTTTCTCCACCAGTGCAGCTTAATTTGCTACGTCTTCTCTCGATCGAAAGGAGATTAATTAAGCTAATTAATCTCGCCATCGTCTCGATCGTCATGGCCGCTGCCGTCCGGTCCGTGTGGGCGGACAACTTCGCCGCCGAGTCGGCCATCCTCCGCGCCGTCGCGCCATGCGCCGTCTACGCCGCCATTAACGTCCAGTATCCAGGCTGCGTCGTTTCCGCCGCTGGCGGCGCCGGCGACCACCGCTGCTACTACGACCTCACCGCCGAGGAGCGGTACCAGGTGGTGAGGGCGAACGCGGACGAGCTCAAGCCCCTCCAGCTCGGCCTCGCCGTGCGCACCGCCGACGGCGGCCGCTTCGCCTGGGAGTTCAACCTGAACGAGTTCGACCTCGCCGCCGACGGCGACATGTGCGAGCCGGGCTCCGTCGACTACCTCCGCCACCGCGGCATGGACTTCAACGCCCTCCCATGGTCGGGCGTCGGCGCCGCCAGCCTCGGCCGCCTGCTCTGGAGCTCCGGCCTCCTCGCCGCGCGGCCGTCGTGGGCCACCTTCGCCGGGGCCTACCACGTCGCCTACTTCGCCAGGATCTTGATGCTCGCCGTCGCCGTCGCCGGCACCGGCGGCGGCGGGGCGGCGAGGCGGCTCCCCGCCGACGTCGGGGGATTCGAGGAGATGGTCCGCTCGCTGCTGGGGCATCACGTGTACGACGTCAGGTTGCTGGCCGGGGAGCTCAGGGGCCCGCTCGCCGACGTTGCGAGGCAGCTCGGCGCCGCTGTCCCAGCCGACGCGGCCGCCGCGGGGCTCGCCGGCGCCGGCGCCCTCATGGCGCTGCAGGCTTTCGAAGCCCTGAGGGAGCAATGCCGCGGCGTGATGCCTCATCGTGGATTGCTATGTGGGATTCAAGCAAGCTAGTTTGTTTGTTAGCAAGGTTAGTACTCCCTCCGTTTCAAAATGTTTGACACTGTTGACTTTTTAGCACATATTTGACCATTCGTCTTATTCAAAAAATTTTATGAAATATGTAAAACTATATGTGTACATGAAAGTATATTTAACAATGAATCAAATGATATAAAAAGAATAAATAATTACTTAATTTTTTTAATAAGACGAATGGTCAAACACGTACTAAAAAGTCAACGGTGTCAAATATTTTGAAATGGAGGGAGTAATTAATTAGGAGAGGAGAAAGGGCCTATAGCTAAAAAAAACTAATTACAAGACTTCGTCAATCTCCAAGATAGATTTGTCGGCCCCTTCTTCGAAGATGTTTATAAGGGTGAGTGTGCGTGTGTTGTGAGTATGTACGTTGTACTGTGTAATTTTTAAAAAAATTAGGTGAGAAAATTGAGGTAATAATCGAGGTGGATTGCCAGGCGAAAGCGACGATCAAACGCATGCAGAGCCCAGAGCCCAAATCCGACTATGAGCCTATCAGATCAAGAGATTCAAGACTGATCGCTAAGAAACCAATATTGGAAGCGGTGATCGATTGTTTTATGTTGTTTTGTTACGAAATAATTTAGTCGTGTTGATTAATTGTGTCCGTGTCCGTATCCTTAGTGAGCCCAATATTTTGAGCTAACCACGTTAAAAAAATACATAGAGAGAGTATATACATATTTAATTAGCCATGTAACTGGGCAAGTGTCCTCACTCGCTGAGTTGAATAATTTAGTTGTGTAATTGCTTGTGAGTATCCTGAATTGTGTAAAAAAGGGTTATACTCCAGTTCAATTTAGATCCAGTTCACTTCTTCAGTTTAGATGATTGATATCGATTTTGCTCAAGTACTTTGTTCATATATTTACTTTCTTTCTTGAACTAGTTTAGTAGCATATGGATTATACGGTGATTCAAATTACTCGCTCTAGTATTCACAAAATTCCAACACACAATAACTTGTTAAATGTTTAGTTTAAAGAAAATGGTATACATCGATTTTCCTCCAAAATCTAGTATCATAATATCAAAAATTTATTATATTTTATTATAAACTTATTCTAATATAAAATTGATAGTTGGAATTTTAAGAGTTGGATCGAATTTCGTTATATAAACGCCAAATATTTATGTTTTGTTATATATCTAATTTTAAGAGTATTATTTTGTGATATCCGCTGGTACACTTAAAATAAATTTAAGACAGAAGGAGTCACTATGTTTTTCTTCCGTACAATTGAGATTGTAACGTGTATAGCATTTATTCACTAATTGTATACCAAATACAATTTGATTTCTATAGATAGAAGAGAAAAGTTAAATATAGCCACAAAATCTTGCTTGTGGCCTTCTTAATCCTATAGCATGTAAAGAATTGAACAAAATCTATGCTAACTCCCCTTTATGATTCGGCATCCAGCTTGAAACGTTTCATCACATACAAATCCTACATATCCCTGAGTAAACATACATAATACAACTGTCACTTACTAATTCGTGTTCTTGAATTGGTACAATAGACCACACTTACCGAGTTAAATGAATTAAATTTTATCCTCTGGTTATGCAAGACACGCCAGAAATCTGACCGCTTGTGTCTGTGTACCAAAATTCGTTGATCAAATCACATCACCAAATTTCTCTCTTTCTTTGCCAGCTTCTTTGTGTGATATTTCCGACTGAAATTCCCAATACATGATGCACGTCAACACACGAAGTTTTCAATATCAAATTAGTTTCATTAAATGAAACATTAAATATATTTTGATAATATATTTCTTTTGTATTAAAATGCTGCTAAATTTTTCTATAAATTTGATAACTTAAAAAAAATTTTGCTAAGAAAAAATTCAAAATGACTTATAATATGAGATGGAAGTAGTTAGTTTCACATATACATCGATCATCCCTGATCCCTACTTCAGAGTTCAGAGTTAACAAGCTTACTTAAACCGGCAACTGATCAGTTGGATCAACTTGTTGCTGTGCAGGCGCCGGCGGTGCTCCGGCCGCCAGCTTGCCCGGGTCAAGCTCTCGCCGGCACAGCGGGCACGTCCGGTGAGCGGCGAGCCACCGGTCGATGCAGTCGGCGTGGTACACGTGCTCGCACGCCGGCAGCCGCCGCACCATCTCCCCCTCCCGCACCGCGCCCAGGCACACCGCGCACTCCCGCCCGACGCCGCTCGCCGCCGTCGCGCCACCGTCGTCGGAGCTTCCAACTACATAAGCGTAGGCCGGGGGGAGGGCCTCCACAGGGAACGGCTCGCCGCCGCCGCTTTCGCCAGCAGCGACGACGACGACCGCGCCCTCGCCGTCGACGTAGCCGGAGACCGCGTCGCGCTCCCTCCATCTCCGGCAGCAGCAGAAGGCGAGCGACATGAGGGTGAGGAACGTGGCGAGGAAGATGGACAGGAACACGGCCGACACAACGATCAACCCGCGCGGCGGCGGGCCGGACGCCGACGCCGCCGCCGCCTGCCCGCCGCCGCCGCAGCATGTCTCGACGCCGGCGCCGGTCATCACGACCACTCCGACGAACACTACAAGAACGAGCTATCTTGCGACGGCGACGACGACGAGTCCATGTGCCGTTTTGCCGCGTATATAAATACGACAGGAGGAAGAGAGATCGAGATCATGGCCGCCAACGTTTTTGAGCTTTGTCAACGACTATAATATAATTATTGTTACAATAGTTTAATACTAGTGTACTAAGTAAAGTCAGAAGTGAATTAAGCTGGCATGCAGAAATGTTCGTCATGTCTGACATAATCCTCCGTGAATATACATATCTTTGGTAATAATATTGATGTTTGCTAGGTAGAATATATATGCATGCACTAACTAATTCAATTTCTTAATATTTATTTCTTCTTTGTCCAATAGGAGTTGAGATCGATCTGTAAACAGAATCTCCATTGGGCTGAATTTATTTGCTCAAACGATGACCTGATATTCTAGTTACCACTTAATTAGCAGCCCTGATATTTGCTTGTGCAGTTGTTATCACTTAGCAGCCTTGATATTCTAGTTGAGTAATTAATTAGGTGGAAAATTTTTCAGAGTCTGGGTCAAACTTGTTATTCAGTTAGCTTGATGACCAAGTATATATAAACATGTCAGTGATTATTTATGGGAGAGTAATCAATTTTGTCCTTTTCGCTCTTGGATCAATTTTATCCCTTGTTTATGTTGTCTAAAAATCTCCTCTATGGAATTGTCCCATGGACCGATCGATATATATTATATATTTGAGTAAATTTCGTAAATTATATATACTTTGATCAAACTTTAGCAAAACTACTACTACTCACTTCGTCCTAAAATATAAGTATTTTTAGCGTAGTGACAAGTCAAACTTTTTTAACTTTGACTATTAATAACAAAAAAAAAGTAAAAAAAATCAATCATGTAAAATTGATGTTATTAGATTTATCATTAAAATATTTTACTTTTATAGATATTGTTGGTCAAAGTAGTATCTCAGAGACCGTGTCAGAGTCCAAAAATACTTATATTTTAGGACGGAGGGGATACAATATAAGGCAGAGTATCATACTCATACACCTACTTATATTTAGGGGTGAACAGAACGCTCGTGGCTCGTTAGCTCGCTCGGCTCGTGACAAGCTCAGCTCGGCTCGGCTCGTTTAAATTTCGTAACGAGCCGAGCTGGCTTTTAAGCTCGTTAGGGATAACGAGCTAGCTCGTGAGCCTTAACGAGCCAAGGGATATGGGCTGTTACTACTTGGGCTGTAGGCCTGTGGTATAGAATAGAAGGCCCAACAGCCAACAGCCCGACTTCAACAGAAAACCCTAGACTGCCTAGTGCCGCACGCCCACACCGCATCCGCATCTCCCGATTCCTCGTCTCCGACTCTCCGTAGTGCGCGGCTGCCAGCCGCCACTATCGCTCACTCGTGCGTCACCTCGTCTCCTCTCCGCACGCGTTGGCGGCGCCGGCGGCGCCTCTCGCCGCCCGCATTCTGCCGGCCTCAGCCACCGACGGAGCGTCGCCTGCCCTCAGCCCCCGCCGGCCGCAGCCCCGTGCCACACGCCGACCTCGTCGAAAGCAGCAGCGGGAGCAGCAAAAGGTCCGCATGGATCCCTGTAGGTTGTAGTCAAGGATCTGCAAGACTTCTTGGCTGTTTGATTTTTTTTTTTCGAGGGGACTTGGCTGTTTGATTTTGACCTTCTGTGTATCCAAAGCCCTGTTTTGATCCCTGTAGGCGGGAGCGTGCTGTTTGGCCCTAAAGCCTCTGTGTCCATGGTGTGTATCCAAATTCCAAAATCTCTTTTATGGTTGTTCCAATTATCCTAGACTTCTTGGCTGTTTGATTTTGAGCATCGATGATATGCTTTGTCAAGAACAAAACATGGATCTCCTAAAAATTATTTGGTGGTTTATAAATTGCGAGTAATATTTCCCAAATTCCAATCCAGACAATCCTCTGTGAGATGATTGATTCAGTTCTTTGTTGTTAATTTTAACCTGAGCTCTTGTCAACTGATTCAGTTCTTTGCTTGGGAGCAGTAACGGCAGTTTTTTTTTGTTTGGCTCGCGAGCCTAACGAGCTAGCTCGAGCTTTCAAACGAACCGAGTGGAGCTAGGTTTCTAGATTATCCTAACGAGCTTGACTGAGCTGAGCTGAGCCGGCTCGCTATCCACCCTTACTTATATTAGTAATAGTATTATCACAACACTACATATTTTAGAGTTATCATACCCTATTATTGTGCTAGGGACTGGAGTTAAAAATAATCTGTAATTATTTGATAAAATTGATGCTAATTGTCTACATTACAACTTAAATGTTGTTTTGTGATAAATATGCTAAATGTTTAGTTTTGTGGTACACCATCTTACATATATATAATTTGATAATAGTTTGATTAAGGTATATATAATTTCATAGTTTGATTAACGTAGGTATTCTATCTCAGCAAACCACTAACCTAATAGCTTAGCGAGATCTATAGAAAATATTCTTTCAGATTTACGTGGAAGCAATCAGGAATGTTAGCTATAAATTGTCAATACTTCAGGTATAGAAAATACTTACTCTTTTTGTGCTAATTGATTTTGGAATGCTATGCTCCATGGACCAAAAAATATCCACTGTTCGGAATCAAGTAAGAAACGACATTTGAATCTTACATTTGAATCTTAATATTTTGTAGGAAAAAGTACGAATTACCCCCTTGAACTATCGCGGTCGACTGAGTTACCCCCTAAACCCGAAAACCAGACATTGCTCACCCTGAACTTTCAATAACAGACAAATTACCCCCCTCGACTTAATCCAGAGCGGTTTTGTTCTACGTGGCGTACGCGTGGCAACCCAATTAGCATTTTTTTTAAAAGTTGTGGGACCCACCTGTCATATCTCCCCTTCTCCTCCTCCTCTCTTCACACTCTCTCCCTTTCTCTCTCTCATGGGGCGACACAGAAGGAGTGAAGAAGTGCACCCAAGCGCATGGGGGGCGGCCACCCGAGTGCTGTGAAGAAGTGTCGGAGCACAGTCAGCGGCGGTGGCAGACGGATGACGCCGACACCGAGACACCGTCGCCGCGTTCCCGGCTCTACGTGTTCATCAGGGCGTCGCTCCTGTTGTCCGTCTTCTTCCTCGCCGCCAACGCCAATGGCCATGGCCACGTCCTCGTCGCCTCCGTCGACTTGTTCCACTCCTTGTGGGTGCGCTTCCGGGCGCGCCTACGTCTCCCCGCCGCTCCAACTCCTCGCCGACGCATGCGTCGTGCGCTTCCTCGTCCAGAGCGCCGACTGCCTCGTCTGGTGCCTCGGCTGCCTCTACATCCATCTCAACCGCATCAAACCTAAACCCATCTCCTCGCCGGCAATAGATAGAGAGAGAGAGAGAGCGGGGGGCTGGGAGAGAGGTTGGGCGAAGAGAGGGATGACAGGTGGCCCAGGGGTTATTTAACTTTTTTATTTTTGCTGACTAGTCTGCCACGTTTGGTGCCACGTGTACTAGCTCAAGTCAAAACCGCTCAGAACAGTGTTCAGGTAGGTCATTAGTTCAGTATAAATAGTTTAGGGTGTAAAATGTCTGGTATTAGAGTTTAGGGGGTAATTCGGTTGACCGCAATAGTTTAGGGGAGTAATTCGAACTTTTTCCAATTTGATATTACTCAGAGAGTATTATAAACCAAACCTTAAGTATGGTAATGACTGTTAATTTTTTGTTTTTACAATGTGTTATTTTGCGCAGTGATGCAGCTGTGTCTTGATTGAAGAAGAGTAGAAGACCATGGAAAAACATAGCAGAGCAAATGCTAAGACTACAGGGCCCATGTACCGCAGGCCGAGAATGGTTACATACTGTCTAAATCGGCATAACCAGCCCATACCAAAGTAACACCACCTACTCCTTACACAACAAAGACCATTGACGAGCCCAGCAGAGCCTAGCCAAAACACCAGTTGTGGGTTCGAAAAAGTATACCGAAGGTCCCTCAACTTGTTATCGAGTTACAAAATCGTCCCCTAACCGTAAAACCGGATACAACGCATCCCCCAACTTACAAAACCAGTGTAGATTAGATCCCTCGGTTGTTTTGCACCCGGTTTTATCCGACGTGGCGGCTGAGTCAGCGTGGGACCCACGTGGACCCCACATGTCAGAATGCCACGTCAGCAGGCTGGCCTCTCCCTTCCTCTCCTTTCCTCCTCTCTCTCTCTCTCACTCCTCTCTGGACTGGGCAGGGCGGCCGACGGTGGGGAGGAGGTCGCCGGGTGAGGAGGTCCGACGGTCGGCCGGCGATGCGGCGGCGGAGACACGGGAGAATGGGAGGGCGGTGGCAGGGCGAGGCGGCGTCGGCGGGCGAGCGCAGTGGCGGAGAGGTGGCCGCGGCGACGACGCCGTCGCGGCTCCCACTCCCTCTCCCACTCCTCCCCAAGCAGCGGCGGCGGCGGCCACCGAGCAGCGGCGCGACGAGGGCATCGTTCGCCATGGCGGCGGCACCTAGGCTCAGCGGCGGCGAGGCGTTCCGGCTGTCGGCGGATGCGGGCGCGGGCGCGCTCAAGCTGCACAAGGACGACATCACACTCTGGTCCGTCGACGGCGCCACCGTCGCCATCGTACGTCCTTCCTTCCTTGTTAATTCGTTCCCTTCCTCGATCCTTGCCGATGCTTGTGTTCGTGGCTATGGTGCGTTTCAAATCTGATGCTGCTCGTGTGGATTTGGTAGGATTAGCGCGCGTGGCCACACATTTGGTGGGATTAGTCTTGTGTTTGACTTTCACTAATCCTCAATCTTTCTAGAAATATTTGCAAAATTGTTAAAGCAATAATCTCTAACTCTTAACTATCTGGGTATGACGACGAAGAAGATGACAGTTATTCATATTTCTCAGGTTAATGCTGCTAATAAACGAATGCTAGGAGGTGGAGGTGTTGATGGAGGTGATTGAATGCAGCTACTAACTCCGTTTTTTAATAGATGACGCCGTTGACTTTTTCTCACATGTTTGACCATTCGTCTTATTTAAAAAATTTACATAATAATAATTTATTTTGGTATGAGTTGTTTTATCACTCATAATACTTTAAGTGTGATTTATATCTTATACATTTGTATAAATTTTTTAAATAAGATGAATGATCAAACATGTGAGAAAAAGTCAACGGCGTCATCTATTTAAAAAACGGAGGGAAAAACGGAGGGAGTATCATTTATCTCATCACGGATTGACTATCTCATACTCCAGTACAATTCTCATTGTAGCTATACATCGAGCTGCTGGACCTGAACTCGTAGAGGCCTGCCCAGTCCAGAGACGCGGGGCTGACAGATTCTCCTACGCCGACGAGCTTCTCAAGGCGTTCTGCGCTGCCTTTCCTTCTTCTTCATCGTCGTCGCCTGCGCCGCCGCCGACGCAGCCGCAGCCAGAGCAGCAGAAACCGGTGGTGGTGGTGGTGTAGGAGAATCCGCCAGCCCCGACGACGGCCTCTCCGGCCAAGGCGAAGCTGGCGGCCGCGAGGCAGGTGCCAGGCGGCGTGCCTAGATCCAAGAGGAGGTGAGCTTTCTTCACTTTGCCTCCACGCTCACCCACGCCGTCGCCTTCGGCTTCCCGCGTCGCAGCCGCAGCCGCAGCCGCCGCCGCCGCCGCCTCCTCTCCGCCACCGCGCTCGCCCGCCGACGCCGCCTCGCCCTGCGGCCGCCCTCCCATTCTCCCGTGTCTCCACCGCCGCATCGCTAGCGACCTCCTCCCCACCGTCGACCGGCCTGCCAAGTCTAGAGAGGAGTGAGAGAGAGAAAGAGAGAGAAGAGAGGAAAGGAGAGGAAGGGAGAGGCCAGCGTGCTGAAGTGGCATCCTGACATGTGGGGCCCACGCTGACTCAGCCGCCACGTCGGATAAAACCGGGTGCAAAACCACCGAGAGACCTAATCTACACTGGTTTTGTAAGTTGGGGGATGCGTTGTATCTGGTTTTGTGGTTAGGGGACAATTTTGTAACTCGATGACAAGTTAAGGGACCTTCGGTGTACTTTTTCCTTGTGGGTTAATCACTTGATTGGGTTGAAAATTCGGTCTGAAAGCAAAAACCACATGTGACACAGGCCTGATTACAACTGTAAGTCCATAATATGTATAAGGTGAATAAAAAGACTCCTAACTCGGCTCGGCTCAATTTGACAGAGTTACCGAGTTGAATAGAGTTCAAACTATTAATCATTTGTTTATTAACGGGCCAACTCAAGCTAACTTGCCCATTACTCGCTTAGCTCGTGAATGGGTGACTCATTAAACCACAAACCGAACATAGGTTGTCAAGTATAGGCCACATGCCCACTATCGTACACATTGAGTCATTACGCATAGCACGGTCGAGGTCATAGCCCTCTGTCGGTCTTAGGCTCACAAACGGTTCTAGGCTGCTAGCAACATGCATGTAGAGTAAATTGCATATTGGTCCTGGTTTTCTTACCTGTGTTGCACAATGGACTAAATGCTACCCCATGTTTTCACTTTTAATACATATGAAGTTACCAAAACTTTCATCTTGGACTAGTGGCCCACATGTTATGTAGAAAGTGTTTTCTTCCATCTCTCCCGTCTTCACCGACGAATGCATCAATCTCATCTTGGACACGTGGTCAGTGACCAGCAGTCTAGCACGAGTGCAGCTTTGCTGGTGTGATTTGCTTGGGGTTGATTCCAATTGAAGTCCGATCTTGAGCAACGCAGCGCAGGTTGGCCAATGGATGGACCGAGATCGATCGAGCGCCAGGTTGTACGCGAGGAGCTTAAGCTCCTACACGAGGATGGATCGACGGTTGTACGTGCCTTCACCAGTCAAGCTCGAGGGGCGCCCGCACTCGTCTCCCAGTGGCAGCGCCAACGACAGAGCCCATTCCATCTCGCGCATCGCGTCAGCCGATGGAGCGGACGAGCGGTGATCATCTTCAAGAGGGAGGGATGCGGCACAGAGCTGCCGAGGACATGCCGGCGGCCACTCGATGTTCGTGCAGCTAGGCTGCTACTGCTGCATTACTGGGGAAGAGATGAGCTCTGCCCGATCAGGATAGGGACTAATAAAATAGGTAGATGAATGGCTGAGGCTGACATGTGGGTCAACTAATCCAAATTGCATAGTTTGGTAACAAAACCTTTATGTTCCTAGTCCAGTATGCAACTTAGGTAATTAAACTAGTCCAAAGTGTAATTCACTCATTTTTAAATTATATATACTGTGTTGTAACGAGTTTAATGAGCCAACCTGAGTTTCGTTAATCCAAGTTAGCTCATTAATTTAACATTTTTCACAGGTTAAATAGAGTTTTTTTTTTGAAACAAGGTTAAATAGAGCTAGATTATTATATGTATAAGCTTTTGTTTTTGCTAACCGCGTCGTGCTTTTCTAAATTTTTTTCATAACTTTTGGATGCTTTTTTAATGGATTTGCTAACCTCCTCTCGACAGAAATTGTATCCCCAAATCTTGCAGATTTTGGGCCACCGGATGAGCTTTAAGATTCGTGCTCCAGGCCTTCTCCTCCAGCTCCGGCTACCTCCTCTTCTTCTCTGGCGCCGGCGACACCCCCGGGGTAGGGTGGGGGTTGGAGGAGGAGTTCACCGGCGTAGAGGGATGGCCGGGGGAGGCGGCAGCTCGGCGATGGGCGGCGGATCGGGCGGGCGGCGAGGCGCCGGCGGCGGCGCCGGAGCCGCGGGGCTGGAGGAGGGCGGTGGGCTGGCGTTGGTGGCGGGGGTATCACCGACGACGACTCGTGGAGGAAGGAGGGGGAGGGGGTGAGGGGGAGGAGGCTGGCCGGGGAGGTCTCGCCGGCGCCGTTGACGCCCTCTGGTGAGCCGGCGCGACGCGGTGGGGTGGTGGCGGCGGGGGATCGGCCGGAGGGATCGGTCGGAGGGTGGCGGCTGAATCGCGCGACATCGGAGGGGAACGGAAGGAGAGCTAGGGTTAATGCCTCTGCACGAATCTTAAAGCACATCCAATGATCTAAAATTTGAAAGATGGGAGGTGAGATTTTCTGTCAATAGATGTATAGGCAGACCCTTTTTTCGGAAGGTTTTTCTTAAGGTTGGGAGACTCATGACTTGGGAACTCTCTGTTACGCTCATGGTTTACAGTTTTTCAAATAAAGGATTAAAACCTGACCTCCACACTAAAAAGGATATATACGACCAATAATGTTTATGGAGTACATAAATTGAGTCCGTAAATAGAATTAACTCAACCAACACCGAAAGGACACTTAGACTTGAACCCATTAGAAAACAAATTGAAAGTTCTTGCAACAAGTATCCCAAAACTAAAGAACCAAACTATGATTTTAGTTTCCTTCTCAAGTTTCAACCAAATGTCGCAAAGAAGTGCATCACTCTAGTTTCTAACAATTTGCACCCTTCCTTTGTCATATCGCTATCCTCTTCCTTACACAACAAAGACCATTGATGAACCCAATGCATCGCCCCTGAAAACTACATGCAAACATGAGTTAAATGTGGAGCCATCGAAGACCACATTATTTCTACAGAATTAAACCGCCCAACACAAAGCTATAATTCCTACAAAAATTTGGTACTTTAGCCTAGGTTGTAAACCATTTAGCCAATTGTCAACCATATTAGCAACATTATCAGACGGTTTAATCCCGAAGGTAATAATGACGATGGTTCATACAAATCTAACAATTTGACAATTAAAGAAAAAGATGTTGTATTGTTTCACCATGAGTAAAAAACAACATTTAGTATTGCTCTTCCATCTTCTTTTTGCCAAATTATCATGACTCTCTTTTTAGATATCACAAGCAAATCTTTAATTTTAAGAGGAATTCTAAGATTCCAAATGAAAATTTTCCTTGGCACAATATCCCTATACATGATTGCTTTGTAGATAGTGTTAACAGTGAAGATTTCCATCTTATCAGCTTTAATTTCCGATTGGAAACATCTCTTTGTTAGGAGAAAATTAACTAGGGCCACTCCAGCCACTAGGTTAAACCAAGTTACTAGCTTGTCTGCTACCAAAGCCCTCCTAAATGAACATTTTAGTGATACTCTTTCCATTCCATTGTATCCATCACTTTAACATCCTTGTTCCATACTAAGTTGTACAACAAGGGATAAAGCTTACTGGACGAGGAGTTTCCTATCCAACAATTCTGCCAAAATCTTAACTGCGTACCATCATTCATACACCTTGTATGCTCCTCAAATAAAAAACAGAACAAAAACTAACAAGGGGTAATTTTGTCCTTATAAAAAAGTTGAGCCTGTAAAATATTCTAGGAGGGGAGCGGTTGTCTTGTATAGATGGCCATAAGGCCCCAGGCCCGATGGCTCGGCCCAGGCACAGCACAGCCCGATTGAGGTTGTGCCCGGGCTGGCCCGACCCGACAGCTGGGCCGTGCCTGGGGTCGATGCCTTGGCACCGTGGGCTGGCCTAGCACGGTCCGATCCAATGAGGAAGGAAGATAAATAGTTTAGAGACTAAAATTAGACTTAATGCAGCCATATAATTCATGGCCCAAGGGAGAAGGGACACAAAATAGACTTATTACAATCATTTAGAGATGGCCCAAAGAAATGAGGGAAGGATATTAGACTTTCTTTATGAAGAAGCACGATGTGCTGTCATTCCCATCCCGATCTGACCGGGCTCCTCCTCCTCGTCTCCTGCTCTCTTCACCGCCGCAGACCAGGTCAGCAGTTGAGCACCATGGCAAGAAAGTTGAGAGGTCAGGCGGCCAGCAGCGGCACGTACGTACCTCGCGCCCAGCACAGCCGCGCAGTCGCAGATCGAGCAGATGTGGTCAGACTCAGAGCTGGACATGTGCGCAACGCTCTCGGCTCAGCCCCTTGGCTGCAGTCTGATGGCATGGAGGCGGATTTCTTCGTAGTCACCGGCGTGGATCGCTCGGAGGCGATACACAGCCGGCAGGGGCAGCGACTCTGCTCGCCGAAGGAATGGGGATGGGCTGTTCATCAGAGCTCGCGCCCCGCCGCCGCCGCCGCAGCCGCGAATTGATCGCTCCATCGATGGGACCAAGTTTGGATGGATAGGATATGGAATCAGTTTTTTTGCAAGGACAAGCTAATAGGGATTACTCTGTTATAATCTACTTCGTATAATCTGCGGTCGGTTTTCAATTTCTTTTAGATTTCTCCGGTGTCCTAAATACAGTCGACATCTTTGCCTTTTGATGAGATTTAGTTAATGTCTTTATTAATCCTTGTACAGTTCCACCATCTATGGTTGGTAGCCTAGCATCCCGTGTGTCTTTTGTCGACTGTCATCCCTATGCATTACTCTCCCGTTGTCAAATAACTAGTATCGTAATAAAAAACAAATTACGTATGTCGTTAATTACATATATTCTTGGGCATCAAGCTTGCTACTAGCTGATTTGATTAACAGGTTTGACCCACAAACATGAGAATTTTCCTGTGCATAAGAAACTTTTGGGCAGCATATATATGTAAGTTTCAGTTTGAAAATATGAATCACGAAAGGGACGTAAGAGATTAGAGATTTACGAATTGTGCTAATTGAGATCATCAGCTCATGTTCTCTCTGCCAAGCTACATTACATTACACAAGAGATGTAGTCACGGATTAGGTCAGACATGACGAATCTCTAATTCTCTACTAGCTTAATTCGCTTGTCTTTATTTTTAAGATATATATAATGGAAGATGAAAGATACATCTATCGATCCCTCTTCTGACTTTACTTGATAATAATAGGATAAAATCCAGTAGTCTTTCGCTGATCTTTTGCAAATAACTTTAAATTTTTGCAGCCAAAATTCCAATGGACTCTCAAATTCCAGTCTCGAGCTCCCCTCTGAACACCATTTCTTGGCAGCGCGCACAGGCATGAACGGCTTTGCTCCGACCGGCTACCAGCAGCCGCCGCCGCCGCCTGCGGCCAGCGCTTCGCCGGGCGGATGGATCGCGTCGACGGCCATCTTCATGTCCATCTTCTTCTCCACCTTCCTCCTCGCCATGGCGGTCTCCGTCTACTGCTGCCTCCTGTGCAGAGACCGAGTCCGCTCGGACCGCGACGACACCGGCGCCGTCGCCGAGCGCGCACGTGGCGGCGGTATCGTCGCCCCGCTCCCCGTCGAGGCCCTCCCCCCGGCCTACCCTTATGTAGTTGGAAGCTCCGAGGATGGTGGCGCGACGGCGGCGAGCGGCGGCGGGCGGGAGTGCGCGGTGTGCCTGGGCGCGGTGCGGGAGGGGGAGATGGTGCGGCGGCTGCCGGCGTGCGAGCACGTGTACCACGCCGACTGCATCGACCGGTGGCTCGCCGCGCACCGGACGTGCCCGCTGTGCCGGCGAGAGCTTGATCCGGGCAAGAATCCGCCTGATCAGTTGCCGGTTTAAGCTGATCTCAATGTGCAACATGTATTGATTCTTTCTTTTCTATAGGGGCATGCATGGTGTTTTGTGTCTTTAGGGGATGTCCTCTTTTTTTTTTCCTAAAAATACATGTAAATAGCTATGTAAAGTTCTGAAGAATTTGATGACATTAGTGAAGCATATGTATCTAGCTATACTGTACTTTGAAATTCAAAGTTTAATTTCGATCCATACATTGAGGAGAGAAAAAAAAAAGATAAATGTAACATAGTGCCTTATTAGAGCCCTGTTTTTTCATTTAAACCTGTGTAGAGCTATTCTTGTACAGTTTTTTCCTACTATATTCAATGAAACTAGAAGTGTTTCTTTTAACAACATTATACTATTATAGTTATATGTCACTCTAAATTGGTATGTAGTATGTTACAAATCAACTAACAATAACAAAAATAGAAGAAGATGGCAAACACTCAACAATGTGTTTGTTTTGGCACTACATTAATCAGTACATTGAGATATACGTATATAAAACTTGAACGTTCTAAAGCCTAAAAAAAGTATTACTAATAAACATACAGGGGTGTGACCTAGGCACACGCAATGCTTGGTCACAACTGACCTTGGTGGGTCGGCCAACATTGGACCAAAGTAGGATGGTCACCCTAGCAACAGGGCACATGAAAACAAATATTGGAGGTAGGACCAAATTACTTCCTCCGTCCCGAAAAGCTTGACGTTCCAAGCATTATGACACAAATTAGCTTATAGAGCAAATTACCAATCCACCCTCCATTTATCAGCTATTGCTAGAATGAATGAGCATGCACTCAATTCAAATGAGTGGTCCAGAATAATCCAAGGCAAAAACAAATAGCTCCCAGAGCTGAAACGACCATCATTTTGGGACATTTTGTGAGCTGTAGAACGACAACCTTTCCAGGACGGAGGAAGTAGGTCACATCAGAAGGAGATGGAACCTAATCAATATTCTGTCAATGGCCGGAAGAGATATGCTTTGGTATTTTGGTGACTCCTTGTTGGTAGAGTTGTGTAGAATATCATATCAAAAGCTTTATATCTACAAAGCTCCACTGACATCATGATATAATTATGATTTTTCTGGTGTATATATATGAAGATATTTTTTTAATACTATATATATTAGTTGGAGAAGAAAGGTGTAGAGATAATTGCTTGGAAAATGAAGTTGTCCATGCAAAGGTGCCAAAACTCGGTGGCACTAAGTAGGAAACGAATGCTACGTGAAGATGTTGATGCACTACCTGTCGACGTTTGATAGTCACGACTAGGGTATTTGGATGGTATGAGGATCGTTGGTACTAGGTTATATGCGAGATTGTGGTAAAAGAGATGGAGACAAGGATTTTTATACAGGTTCAGGCCCCTTATCTTACAGGTAATAGCCCTACATCCTGTTGGCTGAAGCCGGTGTTGCTCTTTATTCATCTAGATCACACAAATACAATATTTGAGATAACCTATCTAGCTATTGTCGACTTGGCGGCTAGATAACCAACTCATAGTCGATGACAAGGTAATCTTCCTCCTCGAATCCGTACTTGGCGAGATCAGAGATGGCGCTAGATCCCTCTTGCCGGCCCCCGTAGGTACCGGATGGGGTATGGCTAGGCTAATCTCTGATGTCGATATACGGCAGCGTATTGGCTTGTAGCTTTGTGGCTTCTCTCCTCCTGGGGGCTTGTATCTATACCCATAGATGCTCCCTTGTCCAAGTAAGACTAGGGAGATAAATATGATTTAAGTAGTCCTTGTCGTTTTCATGTAGAACTCTATTTGTCCTTCCTTATCCGGAACTCCTTCTATATACGAAGTTTGTTTCCGTATAAGACATGGTATGTGGTGGGCCCTGCCGAGCTTAGTCAATTACTATTGGGTATGTGGTATCCATAACCCTGACAGTAGCCCCTGACTACAATGCAAATAAACGAGTTCATGTTCTCGACCGAAAACTTTGCAAAACTGTTGTCGTGCTCACTTGACTGTTCTCGGTGAGATCAGAGATAGTGCTAGATTTCTCTTATCGGCCTTTGTAGGCACTATATTAGGTTTGTCTAGGTTAATCTCCGATGTCGACCGAGAAAATATGGAGCATGCGACTAAGTCTCCCGTCTTGCTGTAATCGAGAATTTGGATTGAAGTCAAGAAATTTCATCTCGGCGGGTACACCATTGCTTCATTCCATATTCCTTGTCGAACTCCAGCAGCCGTTCTCAGATAATCGAGAAGGTGCAAAGTCTGCGACAAAGCCTTGAAAATCTAGCTTGACTGCTCTTATGTCTGACTTTCCTGAAATCAATACCCAGAACAGAATATTAAATAGAAATAGCCCCCGAGCGAACGCTCGAGGGTAACATGATATAATATGTATGGAAAAATTGAAAATAAATTGAATCTGCATGTGACAATAAAAGAGTACTCTCACTAGAGTTGCCCTCAGCAATCAGAGTTCGGTACTCCTCCTAGCCCCCAGCCTTGTCCTCGGAGAAGTCTGTTCTCGGAGGGGAAGGCTCGATGACCTGTAACTTGCCTAGCTGAAAATACGATTTACCTAGCCCCCAGCCGTGAAGTTGGAAAAACTAATTTCTGATTACACGGCTTGGTTAATACGCATTATGGAGCACTTTTACATGACCAGGTTTTACATGGTCGTTTGGCTCTTTAGGATCTGACAAGACCTTATCTGCTTTGGGTGTCCCCAGCCGAAATCCCCTTAGGTTTCTTGGAGGCTTGTCAGACTGGCGTAAAGGGACAATAGGTTCGATTTCAAGAGTAGGTGTTATCGTGGTAAGGGATCTCTGGACAAATATTGCACATACAAGCACTTACAGAAGTTGACGTAAATGATGAGACGACCACCACAATAGGCAAAGACCAGGTGTATAGTTGTGCCCAACAAATCGCATAGGTAGTGGGAGAATCGCTACATCGCTGGCAGAAAACCAGTTGTAGTCATAACTCGACTACTTGAAGTGGAGGTATGAGAGATCACTACGACCTACTGGTTCGAGAACCAGGAGTAGGAGTCTCTCAACCGTTTGAAATTGAGGTGCGAGGACCACTACGCTGCCAGTCAAAGACTAGTCGTAATCGTACCTCGACCATCAGAAGTCGTGGTGCGAGGACCGCTACGTTGCCGGTCAAAGACTAGTCGTAGTCGTACCTCGACCATTTAAAGTGAATTTTTAGGTGGTAAGAGATCGCTACGATCTACTGGTCGAGAACCAGGTGTAGGCGTATCTCGATCACCTCAAGTTTTAAGTGGTGGGAGATCGCTACGATCTACTGGTCGAGAACCAGGTGTAGGCATATCTCGATCACCTGAAGTTTTAGATGGTGAGAGATCGCTACGATCTACTGGTCAAGAACCAGGTGTAGGCGTATCTCGATCACCTGGAGACGAATTTTTAGGTGGTGAGAGATCGCTACGATCTACTGGTCGAGAACCAGGTGTAGGCGTATCTCGATCACCTGAAGACGAATTTTAAGGTGGTGAGAGATCGCTACGATCTATTGGTCGAGAACCAGGTGTAGGCGTATCTCGATCACCTGAAGACGAATTTTGAGGTGGTGAGAGATCGCTACGATCTACCGGTTGAGAACCTGGTGTAGGCGTATCTCGATCACCTGAAGACGAATTTTCAGGTGGTGAGAGATCGCTACGATCTACCGGTCGAGAACCTGGTGTAGGCGTATCTCGATCACCGGAAGACGAATTTTTAGGTGGTGAGAGATCGCTATGATCTACTGGCCGAGAACCAGGTGTAGACGTATCACGATCACCCAAAGACGAATTTTTAGGTGGTGAGAGATCGCTACGATCTACTGGTCGAGAACCAGGTGTAGGCGTATCTCGATCACCTGGAGGTGAATTTTTAGGTGGTGAGAGATCACTATGATCTACTGGTCGAGAACCAGGTGTAGGCATATCTCGATCACCTAGAGGGGCTCTAGAGTTGGTGATTAAATGTGCATCTCATGTGGCCAGCATGACTCACATACCCAACATATAGCATATCAGGATGTCTATTCGCAATCATTTCGGGTGATCAAGCCGACAACGTTCGCGAGGAATTATCGGTTAACAACCTATTCCCAAGTAGTCCAGCCGTAGCCGGCGCTATACATGAGATAAGTTGTCAGTCTTTGTCAGTAGGTTGGTGTGACAACTCAGCATTTTTCGAGAACGTTCTCGATAATGCGGTATACTCGACCACATCCTACTCGACTGCTCAATTGTTCCTGAAAAATATTTTCTAGAAGACAAGATATATAGCAGAGAATAATACAATTAAACTGTAACTGCAGTATGTTTGTACTGTAGATTGAAATACAGAGAACAAACTGAAACTTAGTAGAAGTCAGCCTGTCTTCGTCATGTAACAATCTATAATCAATTTGAAACTAATATGAAAAATATCTATGAGCATAAGGAAATCAGCCTCTATGACTCATTTTGAAATATTCAATAACCTTTGTTCTTAACTCGTGTAAGATTGTCACTGAAAGTTTAAAAATACCTAACTAAATTGCACATAGCATATAGCATTATTAAATCATCGAGTTATCATATATGCTTCATAGTCTATATTAGTTTCACCATCTAACCAGTGATCGGCTGGTATCTATCACTAGAGAGTAGCCGATAGAGTTAGATTTCATTATTAATTTAGATTATATAGCATATCTACCATCTTTCTGAAGCTTTCATCATCTTATCTAGATCTTGTACTTATTTTTATGCTTAATGTTGTATCGGTTGAGTTCGATCTATTAAGTAATATCCATAATTGCAATATCTGGCTTGTTTTATGATCTCTAATGAAGATAGTATCGGAGTTTCAGCCGATCTTACCTAATTTAGTTATTTTATTCATTGTGTGCTTGATTGACATGCTAAATCTGCCCTTTATATTAAGATGTTATCGCATTAAAGTATATTAGGCTTTCTGTTTGACATATTTTGTCTGTTTTAATATCTTAATATAGAGTGGTATCGGAGTATTAGCCGATACATGCTAGATCTATTTGATCGGCTATGCTATAAACATATGTATAATTGTTATCTTAAAGTGTATTTGAATCTAAGTGATTTATAATGTCTCGACTTGCTGCTCGATCTATCCCAATCACTTAGTTCAAGTATATTTTGAGAAAAGAATTATACATTGTTAATATCTACAGCCAATCGAGTAGATTTAGTTTTACCTTGCTTCATTCTTCATTGCCGATCTAGTATCAACAACACCGACTTAATGATTGACGATATGTCATCGGCTCCTAGCCGATCGGCTGTCGTTTATGGATTTAACCTCGGTTTTCTTATCTTTCTTTCT